CCAGTCTAAACCTCCCCTGGCGCAACTTGAGGCCATTTCCTCTCGTCCTATCACTTGTTACTTAGGAAAAGAGACTGACACCCACCTCGCTACAACCTCCTTTCAGGTAGTTGTAGAGAGCAATGAGGTCTCCCCTCAGCCTCCTTTTCCCCAGGCTGAACAACCCCAGTTCCCTTTATATATGTCTGACTGATGATGTCAGTAATATGAGCGTTATGTAATAGGCAGTGTGGTGTCACAGTTGGTTTTAACTCATCAAAGCTTCTGCTGTTAGCAAAAGGGTAATATTTTCTACCCCTGTCCACATATTCCTCCTGCTGGGTCTTCTGCTAGTTCTCACATGTGTGTGCACATGTAAAAGCAACTAGATTACTGATCTGCCTGCAAACAAATACTATTTTTGCTAGGTTAGCTTTCTGCCTGACTAGCCCTCTAGTATCACAATACAAAGAGATATTTTGTGGTAGAAAATGTACTTTTTTCCTTTCCTGATAGAACTTCGGTATTGAAATCAATCCCCAATGTCAGCTTCACGTAGCATTACATTTCATTCAGACTCATACACAGTTCTCCTGTTCCAGACTAACTCAGCACGAGTATTTCATAGTATATTTTTTAATATTTGAAAAATTGAAAAAAGGTCTGTAGCCGAAGAGATGGTATGCATGTGCTTGAGAAGATGTCTGTCCACTGCATAAATACTTCATTATTATAGTTCCAGTGTACTAAAGAACCAGCAGCCTATTTCAATTCCAATGCTGTGATTTATTTAGAGTGTCTTATTTAGTTCATAAATACCATGTTTGATTTCTTCAGTAGTCATAAAGGCATTATTTAATATAGGCATTTCTCTGAATTTCATACAATTTTGTTAGATCTAAAAGCAGTTAGAGAGAATTGTCATACTTAGGTCATTTGTTGTCTCAATATATGCATTATGTTTTGATGATACTCCTCACCCTTTCTTTTCTTGATCTCTAGTATAATATACAAACAGATCAGTACAGAAGTTGTGATAACGTCTCTGCCAAATCATCAGATAGTGATGTCAGTGATGTGTCAGCCATTTCCCGAACCAGCAGTGCCTCACGCCTCAGCAGCACAAGTTTTATGTCAGAGCAATCTGAACGCCCTCGGGGCAGAATCAGGTGAGTTCTCAGTGCAGCTTCAATTGTATCACACCCCCTCTTTCATTTAGTGCGAAAATACAACCAGAAATTATTGAAACTAGATGACCACAACATAAGAATTTATGAAAAATGTCTATGCACATATAAACCGTCTTCCATTGCTAGCCTAAAATGACAATATTTTTGCAGTTGTGCATCTAAAACAGAAAGCAAACTTCCTATGAGGAGATGACAGATTAATGTATTTGTGGCAAGCGGAACTTGAACACACACTATCGTCTCATTGCTGGCTATGAATCAGTGTAATCTATATGCCAATAAGGTATTGCAGCAGAAATATTACTAGATTTTTCATCTAAAGAATTTTCTTTCATAAAAGCTCTGTTTTTCATTCTTTCAGTCTATGTATTTATTCCCCTACCTACTTGCCTTTATTTTGCTGTTTTCATGCATATGATAAATTACTAGCTTTGAAACAAGTATTTGTATAGTAATTTTGATATCTCTGGTTCAAAAGTAGTTTAATTCATTTGCATTTTCAATAATCAAATATCTCTTTCATCCTTGATAATAATCTATTCTCGGTTTAGTGCTTTTTTAGATACACAGATTGGTTCCTGTCTTCATCTAACTTGATGACAAAACTCCCACCAGCTATAATGGCTGTAGGACTGGCAGGGTAGTCTATGATTATATCTACCAATGCCTGAACTCTCAAAAACTTGACTTTAAGTGTTATAAGACACGAGAATAATTAGGAACTATAAAAAAAAAAATCTCTATGGAGGAAATCAGTCTGATAAAAGTCTGGATGGCATCATTTAGTACTTCAGAACATTTCTAGACAGGCTCACTGTCCGAGAAGTTCAGCTGCAGGCTTTTTGATCTGTTCATGCAATGGGAAGGGATGTTAGGGAAACTCAGAAACTGGCCTCTATGTCTGAACTAGCTCCACCTCATTTTTTTGTTAAGGAAAGTTCACAAGGGTATTCAAAGTCATGTTTCAGACAGGTGAAATAATAACCTGACAGCTGCAGTAATCCACAATCCAGCAGAACACTGTGGTGGAACTGTAAATGTATTTAAAGTTATTCAAGTGTTCCAAGTTATTTCAATTCATGTGTTCAAATGCTGCATTTCATTATGTCCTGGCTTTACAGTACTCGTCTCTTACAGAGGGCTTTAGTCATACCAAAATACCTGTATTTTCTAGACATTGAATTTTTGCAACTAGGCCCTGTCACAGTATCTTTGGAGACTGAACAAAATAGGATTTTTTCCCATAAATATCTCTGTGTTGAACAGATTTTATCAGAAATGTTCCTTGGGTTCAGAATGTCTGATCACAAATATTAGAACCAGGAGAACCACTAACCTCATGTGAGGCTGAAAAGGGGGAAACCTAGGGTCAAATCCTCGCTCTCGTTCAACCTCTTCCATTCTAACAAGTAGCAGAGCACCTTGGGTACAGGATTCGCCGATGTAGTGTACAAAACCAAGTCTGCAATGGGCCCCCCAGTTCAGCTTCACTCTAGACCCCTGAAGTGACATGTAAGTAGAATTCAGATGCCTTCGCTTTCTGATACCGTCCACAGAATCCATACCTCAGGGTTTAGACATTTTATACTTGCTTGCTTTAATTTTCTCTAAATTCAGGTAGGACTTCCATAGTGAACAAATTGTATAGCAATAATATACAGTGCAGCTCATTCAGTAGAAATATGAGGAAGAAATAGAGTCATAAATTACTCATAACTTCCAATATTTTTCTTCTAAGATGGCAGTGGTTTTGCTCCCCTGAAAGACCTGTTAAAATAAGTGGGAGATGCCTAATGTACTATCTTTGCAATTAGCTTATTTCAACCATTAAGTGCAGTGGAGTGGAATTTAAAATAATTTTGATGTTATGTTGGAAAACATTGTATCCAGCAGATTAACATCCACTGTTCAAAATTTTCCATTTGAGTTGTCCACACTTATTTTCGATGATTGCCTGTCATCGCTATAAAAAGGTCAAAGTCTTTAGAGACCTGCAAAAATGTTGTATCATGGGAATTAGATATCAAGAGAGGTCAGAATGAAAGTGTGGTGTTGAAGAAAAAAAAAGGAGAAGGCATTTTGCTGATGATCTGAGCCAAAGTCAGCTTCCTACCCTCACGTGTCTGTACTGGTAGCCTCTGTCACGTAGTCTTTAGACAATTCTTTGTGCAGCTTACTTATTACATGGAAATGAAGAGTTAATTTGGGGAAAGGGTTGATTGTATTATGAACAATTTTTTCAGAGTGAGATTCGTGCTGTTTAACTTTAGCCTTAAAAACTATGTATCTACAGTGGAATTCATGTAAAAATGAGTTTTTTGTTGAATTATTTGTCTAACTTCCCTAAGTCATCATCAAAAAGAAGAAAACACCTATTATCTTGGATGGTTCACCTCATCTTTAGATAAATGTCAAAGACAGGTGAATTGTCCTTTTCTAGCATTAATTGTTGAAGGAACCCTAGATGACTTGTTTAGATTGGTTGTTTTAATTTTAGGCATCTAAAATTAAAGGAAATGGATTCTTTCTCTTAATTAGTAATATTACTTTAAGTTCAAGGAATTAGAAAATTGAAGTTCAAGTTTGATTAGTAATTTGAAGTTCAAATTTTATTTTTGCCTCCAAAGAACCTGATGTTAAAATATATCAAGCAGGATGGGATGGGATGGGATGGGATGGTTGAGCAGGAGGAGCAAGGAAAAGAGCGTTTTTTAACTTCCTGTATTCTGTCTTACTGAAACCACATATCCACTATCATCTTCATTTGGAAGCATGTCAGCCCAGTGGCCATGGCAAGTGTGTGAGTGTAATGTTAAGTTTAAAGACAGAAAGTTCATTGAACTGCCTTTTTTATGCACCTACTTTTGTTCTCCAGATACCTTCTGGAGATGAGAGCTATGAAGAACCTAGTAAGCATATAGAAACTCAAAGGAGGTGGCCCAGTTTTAGCCATCTCACTAAACTAAGTCATTCAACTACTATCCATAGGTGCCTTTTGTATCCAGAAGAAAAATACACAAATTCAGAATACACAAGCAAGATTCCTGGTCTGCATCACCTTTGGAAAGGGTGTCTCTGTCTCTTTCTCCATTGAGTAGAGGAAAACGAATCCTGGGGCTATTGACCAGCAAGCTGAGTTAATTAAATTAAATGGAGAAATATGACTGTAGAGTACTCCAGGGTTCGGATTAGTAACCTGAAGTGAAACTGTGCTCCTCTAACATTTCTACGTGAGCTAAAAAACACTGGTTAGTTATTCATATTAAGAGTTGTGGTGTCAAATTTCTGAATGTGAAGTGTGCCAGATTAAGACAGCAGTAGTTTTAGTTAATGTTGTTAGTCAACATAACCCCATCATCCCTCATATTAATGCATCTGTGAAAAGGAATATAACTTAAGCTCCTAGACATATGAAAATACAAGATACTGCCCTCTTTAGGGCTGTCATTAAGAAAGCAAACTGTTGTGATTTTGTACAAAGTATCATTACTTTTAAATGTCAGAAGGACAGAGGTTTTAGGTCATAGTGAGTGTAGTTTATATCCACTAACTTCACCACCAGTTCTACCAGCACAAACAGCTTCCTGACCTTTCCTCCCAAATCCTAATAGAGGAAAGATCCTTAAAAAAGCTAGATAATGCATTTTCCCCATCAATCCAGGCAGAATCAATCTCTCTCTCTTCTCTCTCAATTTTGAAGGTTTGAAAGTCTATCATTTCAGACAATGTATTCTATATTATCCTATGTTTATAAATAGTTATTTCTTTATTCAAGCAGTAAAGATTTTAAAACCTGGAAGCACATCTCTTTATCTTGTGGCTCTAAAGTGCATGGGTATTAGCTATAAATGTGTAACAATTCATGGTTTTTTCAGCAATTTTTAATTTTAATGAGTAACTAACTCCTTCAGTTACCTTATATTCAAATTACATTGTGCTTTTCATAATGTACAGCTTTTATAGAATAAAACACAATCTGAATAGCAAGGATAAAACCAGTTGATGCAGAACAACACAGAAATACTGTGCATCTTATTTGAATAGCTAGATAACACTCTAGCTGTTCTTTGGGTCAAAACTCCCAAATTTAAAGTTTTGTAGTAACAGGAAATTTGAGCATGCTGAAGAAGTTAGTAACATAGGGAGAATGAAAGCAAATCTTCCCTTTCCTTTAATCAATGACAAACTGTGTCTAAACCTTTTAAGGCAGAAGACTAATTTCATTCCTACAGTATATTTGTAACTGAATTACCTGTCAGAAAGCTGTGACATAGCATGCATGGAAAATACCATTAGTTAATCTTCAGTCTGGAGATTTTGTTGATTAACACTTCCAATAGGCTGCAAGAGGGAATGATGATTGATGCAAGTTCTAAATATAAGTATATAAAATAGCTTCTTCATTTCTAATTTGTTTAGCATTTCAGGTGGATGTTATAACAAATGGCTGTGCGTGAATAAACTAGTCTGCATATGAAATTATTCCAGACATCTTTCATGTTACTATCCTGGGAAGTCTGGTTGACCACCATGCTCTCTAGTGGAAGTGCAGGCAAATATCTGGAATTTTTATTCTGGAAACAAAATATTCCCTGAATTTTGGGAATAAAGTGTTCTGGGACTTTTGACTTAAATCAGAATCAGGCTTGTGAATTTGGCTTGCCATAGCATTTGGAGTTGGTGTGTATTTCATGACTGAAGTCAGATTACCAGTCGTTCTTTATGGAGGTTTGCTTTCATCAGTCATGGTCTTTATGCATTCATAATACAGTCAAGCAATACTTTGTGCCTGTGTATGCTACAGATGTTACTGTGTATGACTCAGGAACATTCCTCACATCCTAAACGAAGCAGAAGGAAATTCTTCATGTTTTAATGCAAATGATTGATAAATAAGAATCTATGTTAAATACATGGTGATTAATCAGCACCATATGGGCTTGATCAGACAAAGAAGGACATTTCCTCACTTCATTAAA